TCTGCAATTCTATGAGACTCTGTTTCAGCAAGGCAAGATGTCCATGAACAACTGTAGCAATGATTGAAGGTGGCAACAATGCATTGAAATGTGTATTTTCTTTAGATTTAAGGGAAGAGATCTAATTAATTATATTAAGCACTATTTAAAGTGTGAAATCTGTTTCTGTAGGTAGTGCAGCATAAGCAAAGGCAGGTGCCCAACATCACCAGGTAAATTATCTCCATGCCATGCTACATCAGTGAGGTTTTCTCCATAAATGTTCATTCCAGGCTGCTCCCTGTAATGACCTCAATTATACATGTCTTCATTGTGAAATTATGATTGCCTTTGGTGGGCTGCAAATGACAGCAGAGAAAAAGATTTCCGTGATAAACCAGCACAACAGGTAATACCTGCTGCATTAGTATGCAGAGCTTGTGAACTCTGTGTAACTCCAGCTTAGCACCTTAAATAACACTGGAGAGGAGGGACAGAGGAAAATGTTCAGCCAGCAAACTGGCTTTTAGAATTCCTTCAGGGAGTTTAGTGGTTTTGAATCTTTTTTTTTCGGAAACTCTGAAATACCATAGTTTAAATATAGATAGTGGCTGTTCAAAGTCTCATTGTTTTGACAGAACTTGCCTGTGCTAAAGACTTCCCAGTCTCAAAGCTAAGGAATTTCTGGATTTGGAGAAACTTTTTAACTCCTAAAAATGCTGAAATAAACCTTCTAAAAGAGACAACTATTGCTTTTGTGGCAATGAAACAACTGATGCTAATTGTGTCTTACAGTCCCAGTAGGATAGAAAATGTGAAACTCAGAGAGCAGCTGCAACACTTCACATCTGTCCCCAAAAATTCATAATGTTCTTTAGTTTTTGGTGGGGTCAGTGAGAAGTTTAATTAATCTTGACACTTTTTTCCAAGGAAAGGAATTACTAAGATTTCACATTCTCACATGTCACCATGGGACCTGATACTGCAAGAAATGTAATGTATGACCATCAAGATGGTGACAGCTGGGTCACCAAAGGTGCTCAGTGCTTCAGGCTGAATATCATACCAGGCAGGAAAGGTGGGAGAGGATGGACAAGAGTGGTCCCTCCCCTGAATAACCCCTTGGCACTAACCCCCAGCATGCAGGGAGGGATTCCTTACCCTCCTGAATAAGGGTCTGGAGATGGCACTGCCCTAATTCCTGAACCACAAGGTGTTCAGGCACTGAGCTGCTGCCATCACCAGTGGAGAGTTTGTGGCGTCCTGGTTGCCTTTCACTGACCTTGATTTTGTTGGTGTCTTTCATGTACATGATCAGGGATTAGTCCCAGTCCTCTGATACACAGGCACATCCTTACAGCAATTCCTTTTTAAAGGGATCCTTACAAAGGCTTTACCCCTGTCTGGAACCATTAAAAATTGAGTGAAGAATGATAGCATCCCATCCTCTGATGATAGTATCTCTCTCTGATGGCAGAATACTTGGCAGGAACTTCTTTCAAGCTGGAATAAGCTGAGGAGCTTCTTCAGCTGAAATCCCAGAGTATCAGGTTTGACACAGCTTGGTAACTATGGTCAGCAGCAACTGATACTGGTTGAACCTGTGGAATGTAGAAAAATGGTTTGCATGCCTCATCCTGCGGGATTTCCAAATGAACATAACATTGCTTGATTTTAGTACCAAATTCTATTCCAGCTTGTTTTCTTCTGCAAATGAGCATCCTTTGAATATTGCCTATTTGTTCTGTTCAGTTTTATACCCATGGTAAAAATCCTTTTATCTCCTAAAGGTTTTTTAAAATAAAATGAAGAGTGTTCGATACTTAATCTAGAAGCTCTACACAAAATCATTATGGTGACTTGAATAATTTTTGCACATAAACCAACAGCAGCAGTGTCTAAGCTCTATAACTTAATACAATATTGAGTCTTTTAAGAGTTTTAAAAAGCTCAGCCCTCACATCATCTTAGGGAATCCTGTTTCCTCTCCAATACACCTGCTTGTGTGAGGAAATCTTTTTCTATTGAAAACAAAAAAGCAATAACTGAAACCACACAAAATAATTCTGTATTAGTAGAAAGGCTTTTAAATGTTAATTAGAGTCCCTCAAATGTACTGGTAATAAGATGCTGTCAAATATACTCCATAGAAATACTCTAAAAAGGAGTGTGTTTGTATTGTTAAAGTGGTCTGTGCTAATTACATGCTTTAACATAAAAAACTCATCTCTTGGCCTCATATGGTTCATCCAAGAATGGCAGCTGTGCAAGGTGTCTTCTTAATTAAACCTTAATGTATTTTTCATTACTGCTTCTAAAAAGCAAAATCCAAAGCCTCTTTAGCAATTGTTTGCAAGATGGGCAGGAAGCCTTAAATTCCACTGCAATAGAGCACTGAAAAACCATTGCTGAAGAAGGAGCTTATGGAAGCCCAGCATGTGCCAGGGAACTCAAGGCACCATGAAAAACAGCAGAGGCAATTAAGGAAAACAGCACTAAGATGAAAAAACAATTCTCTTGTAAATGAATGGCCCTCTATTTCATTTCTCCTCAAGAGGAGATGTCCTCATTAGCCCTACTGCATGCTACAAATTATTGTAATTATCAGTTCTTTATCCTGTCAAGTGCACTCCAAATATTTTATTCATTAAAAGAAGCTCTTCATTATGTAGAAAATAACTACATTATTAGCCCCTATGTGCTGTTTCCATGCTTCAGGCAGCTGGATGAGGGTGGTGGGATGAGCTCTCCATCCCTGGAAGTGTTCAAGCCAGATTGGATGGGGCTTGGAGCAGCCTGGTCAAGTGAAAGACGTCCCTGCCCATGGCAGGGGTTGCAAAGATGGCCATTAATGTCCCTTCCAGCCCAAACCATTCAGAGGTTCCCTGGGACATCTCTATTCCTATGGCCCACTGCCCCTGAGTTGCCACATCCCTGATTTCTTCCAGCAGGTACCTGAAGGCAGTGATTTACTCACATGTTATGTCTTCCCAGCTTAGTTGCTAGCCTGCTCAGTGATCTTAAATGGGTAATGTTGTCTTCCCAATATTCCTTCATCTCCCCTTTTGATTTTTAAGGTTTGATGGTCAGACTGTGTCAGTCTTCTCATGTAATGCCTCTGGGAGCCACCATAACACAAATAGTAGCACCACATTGGTCAAACATTCCTTATTTTGATCAACCATCTATCAAAACTGCAGTTACCTTTTATTTAGAACAGCTTGTACTCTTCCTGAAATAGCACTGGAGAGGAGTGCTCACAGCTGGCAGACACACCAATGCTGTATGGACCCTGCAGCCCAAAGTCAGCCTCAGATCCACAGTGGTGAACACTTTGTGGCACGTTAGCTTCTCACTTAGGTGGAAGAAGCAGAAGAGAAGGGGTGCTGAGTTGTTGCAGTGTGTTTTCACAAGCAGGTTTTGCACTAATTCTTCACAATCAGTTGCTATACCAGAGCACTGAGTCTGTCCAGGCTGCCCAAGGCTGCTGAAATACACTGAATATTTTAGTGACAGATTTAAGAGGTTTGCTACTCAAGAGATGTTAAAGCAATTTTTTGATTAGATAATATGTGAAAAGGTGGAAAATTGTGCTTGCAAGTGTCAATACTGGGTGGGGTTTTTTTCATTTTTATTCCATGCAAGTGACATTTAGATCTTGTGTGGGATGTAATGACAGAGTTGTGAGGTAAGTGGACAGGATGAAGAGTAACTTTACGAGTTGATGGGAGGGAGTAACCTGACCCCTCTCTGTCATTTTACAGTGTCACCACTGCTTGAAGGGTTTTTTTTTCCCAAAGCACCTGGCCTTGGGTGAGGCAGCATCAGTCTCTTTCATCTATGTTTTACTGCTGTTGTCACCAGTGGACATGAGGAAGGAGGAACCTTAGTGCTGGGAGAGGTTGTTTCATTCCCCAGCCCAGGTTTTGGAGTTGGCTGAAGCAAAGTAACACCAGCTGTGAACATTCCCTGTTCCTCTCAATGGGCCACTGCCTTGAAAGACAAGTCTTCATAATTTACATGCAATACAGTTTACTTACTGCAGAGCTTGGGAATGAGAGGAAGCAAAAGCCATGCTGTGAATTACAAAGCTGTGGCTAGGGGAGTTTGGACAATATGGCCTGACTGCCCAGGCACTGTCACTGCTGCCAAAAGGCTACATAAAGGCAATCTGCAGCCAGGGTAGTTCTGGTATCAGATCTGACCTTTCTGTGTGACCACACATGGCAAAAGATGCAGCCACAACTGATGTCAGTGGCCAGAAGGAAACGATGTGACATAGTGTGGTTTCAGAGAGATGGCAGGAGTTTCTTTTGTGTGGCACACTTAAGTCAAAATAACTAGGATTTTTATTTAAATAAAATATTAGAAAGCTTTTATATTTTAGGAAATCAGATGCCATATGTAGCTGTGTTTGGTAAACAAGTTTTCAAGCTTGGTAACTTCCAGTGTTTGGGCAATTTGAAACTAGGTTTATCTATATTTCAGTGGCAGCAGTCTGACCTTAATTCTTCCTTAAGGAACAAACATGACTCATTCTTGTACCTTTTAAAAGGTACAAGAATGGTACCTTTTGAGGTACCATTTTTGGTAGGAGAGCTTTTGAGAGGCTTTCCTACGAAAGAGAGGTAGTGGAGTGAGAAGTGCTGTAGAGAGGAGTGGTGTGGAGGAACAAGCCCAGATGATCTCAAGCTGGAGAGCCTTTACTTGTCCTCCTGTTCCTGACTGCTTTGTATAAACTACAGCAGCCAGGCTGGCCAGCTGACCGTTTTAGTGCCCTCATGCTGTAGCTAAGGTGATTCAGAAAAGGAGTGCAGGGAGTTTGATTGAGGCAGAATCAATTTGTCTCTCACCTGGCTTTACTGTTGATGGGATTTTTTTGTATAGCATAGGTACCCCATCTCCTTGACAAAATCCCCCGAAGTTATTCCCAGACTGAGAACAGAAGTCCGAGAGGGGAGAACAGGAGCAGCTTCCCTGTGTGGTGTTTGATGTTGTGCCTGTTCTTTTGCCTTTTGCAGAGGTGGTTCAGCTGAGCCTGCCTGAGGAGCAGAGGGTCACTGTGACCACCATCACCGTTGGCCTCAGCACTGTCCTGACGTGCAGCATCCGCGGGGCGCTGCGGCCGCCCATCGTCTGGAAGCGCAACGGCGTCGTGCTCAACTTCCTCGACCTGGAGGACATCAACGTACGTCCTGAGCCTCTCCTGTCGTTGTCTCTCATACCTTGAGTATGGCCCCCGTTAGCAGGTGGTGGTTATAAGGGTGCAGCTTTTATCATATTATTACGGAAAGCAGAAGCTGGTGCAATATTTAGGATTTATGTGAATATGTCTCAGGAATAAAAGCAAAGCAGAGTATGTGCAGGGGAGAGCAGGAGTACTCGGAATAAGTTATATGAAATTATGCTCCTTTCACTGGTGCTTCTTTCATTTGTCTGGACGTCTGCTCCAAAGACCTCAAAACTCAGGGGAAAACAGCTCTACAGACCACTCACTCCTCAGGGGTATCTTTCCCAGTACAATCAAACAGGTTTATCAAGAGGATGAAACAAAACATTTGTGCGGTGGCTATGGGTCTCTCCTCTCTTTAAACCAAATAATCTGTTTTTATCTCTGATCCTCCTGTTTCTCTTGCCTTTGAGTCAATTCTCTTTTCTCATTCCTTGGCTGTTATTTCTACCAAGCAGTTTAAAAATGGGATTATTCAGCAGGGTGTGGCAATGCCCTCACAGGAAGGAAGATGAATCTCTTTTAATTCACAGTGCTGGTCTGATCTCTGAGTCATAGTTGGTAGTAAAGACAATACCTGAATGATGGTACAAACTTACTCATTTATTTAATAACATTTAATTACAGAGAGAGTGGAAAGTAGTGTACAAAAAATATGGTCTGTATTTCATTTCTCTTTTCATTAAAGTATATGGTAAATCAGGTTTTATTTTAATTACACTGCAGCAAGAGTTGATTTATATTTTTGTTCCGTTCTTGTTAATTTGATAACCACTCAATTCAGAGTTGTTACAGTCAATACTATAGCTCCCTAAATTGTTGTGTATCCAGGATTGCTGAAATGGGAAAAATCTTTGGTTTATTCTTCTGCAGTAAAATGTGAAAATTACAGCACATGGGACAGAAATACACACAGAATCTCAGTGCTTTATTTGTTGACTCTTCCTTAGCAGGAAAATCATGTGCACCATGTATAGGCAATTACTGTGTGCACAAACTTAGTAATTAAAACCATCTAAACATCTTTTTATTTTCATCACAGCAAGTATTATCTTCTTAAATTTTTTTGTATTTCTTGTCACTGCTTTGAGCTTGACATAGAAATGTGGCAGAGCCTCTGAAGGCTAAAGAGTGGTCTTAGGATTTGTTGGCCAAAAATAATGAAAATTTCATTTATTTAGTTGACATTTATGAAATTTTGATTATGATGACATCTTAAAGAATTAAAGTTTCTGTGTGAACTGGACACAAAATGACAGTTCAAGAACCTGAGTAGAAACACATTATTGAAGGACTGATGGCACTTGGCTCTGGGGGTTCATTTGCAACTCCTACTGTTTTAAACAGAATGTTGAATATGTTTACAGACTGAAATGCCAGTTCCTCACATCATTCAGCACCGGCCCAAGTGGATTTCTGATTTGCTTATAAGTAATTCTGTTTCTCATTGGTGATCCTATGTTAAGAGGCAGAGTTACATCCTTGCACATGAGCTGACTGATTCCTGAATGATTCAACATTCCCACAGAGTGTAATACAGAAAAAACCCATCAGTTTTTGATCTGTTTCAACTAGTATATCACTGAGAAACTTTACCAGAAGAGCACTCTGAGGTTGTTACAAGGAGAAAAAACAAGATTTGTGCCTCAATTTTAATGTGTCACATACAGGTTTATGACCTCTATCACCTTGTCATAGAACACCTACTACTAGTGAACATCAACCTTTCTAGTCTAATGAACACCTCCACAACTTTTTCATCTTTAATTAGACTCTGTAAATATTTTATGTTCTGTATATACACTGCTGTCTGTATTCTGGTCTGATTGCTTGAGGAGGCACAATTTGGCCATTTTTTATTTTCCCTCTTTCCCGGTGGCTGTTATGTAGGATGCTTGAGCTCAGGCATGTCTACTCTCTGGCTACTGAGGATGGGCACCTGCATGTCTGAAGCAATTGGTGGCAGCAGGAATGGTCCTTCAGCTGCTGAATGCAGCCTTTTATTTATCATAGAACCACAGAATGATTTGGGTTAGAAGGGGCTTCAAAGCTCATCTCATTCCAACCCCCCTTGCCATGGGCAGGGACACTTTCCTCTAGACCAGGTTGCAAAATCTTCATCCAGCCTGGCTTTGGACACTTCCAGGAATGGGGTATCTGCAGCTTTTATGGGGAACATGTGTCAGGCCTCACCACCCTCACAGGTAGGATTTTTTTCCTAATATCTAATCTAATCCTACTCTCTTTTAATCCATTCCCCATTCTCCTGTCACTACATGCCCTTGTTTAAATGTCCCTCTCCACCTTTCTTGTAGGTTCCCTTCAGGTACTGGAAGGACCCAATTAGGTCACCCTTAATCCTTCTATTTTCCAGGCTGAAGAATCCCAATTCTCTCAGCCTTCCCTTATAGCAGAGGTGCTCCATCCCTCTATTCATCTTGGTCTTTTCCTAAACACCAAACAGCTCAGGTCAGGGGGTGGCAGCAGACAGTTCAAAGCTTCAGCCTTATGTGGGTACACAAACTCACATTAAACAATAATCTATTTAAAGGCCCTGACAGCAGAAAGTAAAGGCAGTGTGCTTCTTAATGTACTTGAAGGTAGTTAATTAAATTACTCCAGTTTTCCTTTAGTACGCCTCAAGCAGAAACTCAATTGCATTTCTGCTTTTCACAATAAGGTTGGCAATTTGGCTAATTGGAAGTGCAACAGGAGATTAATTGTACCTTTTTAACTTCAAGAAAATCCTCCCTGCTCTTGGCACATTGCTAATCACAGACCTACAGGATAGTCACATACTTGGAAAAGTCCTGGTATTATATTTCAATTAAACTCTTTCTCTTCTAAATGCTAATTCTAGAAATCAAATGAAATTAGAAGTTCAAGTCTGAAAAAAACAGAATCCTGCCAACCAGGTGTGAGAGCAGCAGAGGAAAGGCTTTGCTGAAGTGTCCTTTGTTGCTTTATTCTCTCCAGATTCATGACAAATGTGATCTGAGAAGGTGACCTGTATTCCAGAGAAATACTGGGAGGGACTAAGACAGTCAACAAAAACCTAGATAAGCCTAAATTTGCACAGAACTGAAAGATTGAAAAGGACTATAAAGCCTCCTTGTTTAACTGCATTAGTTAAATCACTTTTATGTGATATCTTGATTGGCAACAAAATATTTATAATTTTTCATTGCTCTCCTAATCAGAAGCTTTCATAAGCAACTAATAACAATTTGTCATGTCCTGTCTATAGGAGCTCTGTTTATGGGTTGTCACATAGCTATTGCAAAAGAGCCATCCTAATGGTACATGTAATTAAACAGTTTCTCTTGCAAACATTTAAGATTGCTTTTAGCATAAAAATATTATTTCTCCATAAATTACCCATCCATATTATTTATCCATTAGAAGCCCCTTTGCAGTTCCACTTTAATAAAGTCACATCAACTTTTCTCATGCAGAAAATAACTATAATGTAGCTGAAACTGATAAATTTGTTATAGCTATAAATTGATTTCTGACTACAAAAGTGAAGTGGTTAAAATGTGTCATCATTCAAAATAATATACTTTTGCCTCCTAGGAACAAGTGATATGTTTTCTCAAGTATGTGATTATGAAAGCATTCCTCAATTTGAGAATAAAATAAACTCCTCATGGAGTCAAATGCATATAGTATTTATAGGGTATTGTTTCACATGATTTGACATTATCTCCAGAGAAACATGTGTAAATTGATATAATTTACAAATATAAGTTGCTCCTTCAGAAGCATGGTGAAAAAGATTACCATAAGAAAACAAATATGGTGAAGAAGTAGATAAGAATTTGGTGAATTACCAAGTGTAATGCAGGTAGCTATAGCCTAAACTCATTAGTGTCTTTAATTACTCATTTCAGTTTTATCTGTACACTTTAACTCACACTGGTGTTGAGTCATTAGTTCAAAAATAGAATTTATATATTTATATTTACACAATATAAATTGTGTAAATACAGAGTTCTTAATTTCTGCTGTGTCAGGTAGGATGGCACAGCCTTGCTCTCTCCAAACTTCCCACCCAGGGACAAGCACAGAGCTCCAGACCACAGCCTTGACTGCTGGATTTCCCCTGGATTCCTGGGAAATCACCTCCATGTGCATCTCATGGCCCTTACAAGAGCTGTGCCCACCTGTCTTGGGACACATTTCATGCATGCTCATGAAAATGTCCCTTTCCCAGGTATAAGATTTGAAACCCAAAGCAAACAGCCAGTCTTTAAAGTGCAAGTCACTGGGATTAGTTTTCTCATTAAAATAGTCTGTATGAAGACAGTGTATTCCTGTTGATGCTTTTAATGTAGAATTTGGGCCATTAAAATGATCAAACCCTGGGCCATCCTAGATCCTGCAGCGATGGGAGCAAGTTACAAAAAGTTGGATATTTACAACCAAGTTTTTTCTTTCAAATCAAATTTTATGAAATTTCTTAGAGCTTCTTAATGCATTTACAGGCTCTAAAATAGAGGTTAAGTGCAAAATTACTACTGACAGTATATTCTGAATATATAGTCTCACATTTTGTCATAATGAAGATTACAGAAATTGTATCCACTTGCATTTTTAGAGGAATGTACCTACTATTCATTTTCCTTGTAATGTTTTCTCTGAGTTTCTCAGGATATAAAACTCACCCATTTTTTTGTTATATTATAATTACACAACTATCTAGGAAGTTCATGTCCATATTTTCAAGGCAAAAAAAATTTTGACTCCGCAGCATGTTGTGTTAAATTCTTTGAGCAGAAAAACAAGAAAAGATAAATTAATACCCCATCAGGCTGTGTTTGCAACAGTATTCTAGCATTTGCTTAAGGCTGAATTTCTCTCCATATAAATGACCAAAGTGATGTGTAAAACCAAGAACAAATAATATTAATGAAGCATAAGTTTTCAGCTTGTCTCTAGAAATGAATTATTAAAAG